AGCAAAGTGAAGGATGCAGCACATACAGGAGCTTCAAGGCAATCTAGCTTATACATTAGAATTGTAAGTTACATAACACTTTTCACATTCACAGGGTCTCCAAGCACTTGATAAACATCAGCCACACTCAACACTACTTTTCTGAGGGAGGTCAGTATTATCACCTCCATTTTACAGACGGAGAAACGGGCACAGCTGAAGTGATTTGCCCAAGATCATATAGAAAATCAGTGGCAGGGACAGGAACTGAAGCCAGGAGACCTACCTCTAAGTCACCATTGTTATTACTATAAGAGTAGTGCCCAGAGGCCCAGGTCAGGACCATGGCCCCATTGTACTAGATGCTTTACCTCCATAGAGGCAGACATATTCCCTGCCCTGATGTGCTTACAGACTAAGGACTATCCACTAGGCCACACTCTTGCACCTTTCACCACCAATGGAATGTCGCCCCCTCAGTTTTGCTTTTTTGGCTTTGACCTGTACCAGGAGGGAAACTTCCCCACAACAGCCCTGTTCTTGCTATGAAAGGGCATATCCTGCACCTATGTTTATACTCATTGTGTCCCTGTTTGCTGCAGAGAAAGTCTCTGTGGGTCCTGCTACCAGCAAAGGGTAAAGAAGGTGGGAAAGGCTAAGCTCAAAGTGACAGCCTTGCAAATAAACTGTAATTCTGCCAACAGCTTGAAGTGTTGAGAATTTAGTATGTTGAGGGTCAAACAGTGGTCCCATTGAAATCTGTAGAAATTTTGACAGTGACTACAATAGGAGCAGGATTTGTCTCTAAAATAAATAAATATGGTGGAGAGTGTGAGTTCCCCAGATAGATAAGGAGGCTCCGCCGTAATTTACCTGACTGTTCATCTTTGGGGCCTGTACGGTTCGGGGCCCATTTGGGGCACGATAGGGTTGTTACACACTACCCCAGCTTGGGGCCTTCACAAATCTACCAGCCTTCCTGGTCCTCCTGCATGATAAGCACCTTAAAAATACAACATAACTGTCATTCAGTCATGAATGTCAATGCGCCAGTTCCCCATTTACACACACATTCATTTCAGAGTAAATTATTAAAGGTTTCCTACAACAGTGAATGGCATGGCATACCACAAACCCATTAGAGAAATTGGGCCGGCTCATCCACCAGTGTAAATGGACCTAGCACTGTTGATTATGCCAGCTGATGGGCTAGCCCCGTTTCCAGTGTTCACAAAGCAATTAAAGACAGACAATAAATGATCTAGCCCAGGGTCCCATACTCTACATTAGTACATGTACTTACCTCCTTTCAGCCACCCCTTCCCCTCCCCCCAACTAGAACAAACCTTTGGTGCAAAGCCCATCTGCTTTCTTCAACAGTTTGCCTTTGGGAAAGGTTTGGGGTCATCTTCATTTTGCAAAAAAACCAAAACTTGTATATTATTTATTACCCATGGCTGATGTGCCATGAGATGTAAACAAAAGGTGCATGTTTTAAATAAATTCGACTGCCAAGACTTACTTGATGGTATTAGAAAATATTCATCAGATTTTTCAGCATTAGCTACAAAGCTAGTTCAAACAACAATGAAACTCTTGGCAGAATTAAGCGGGTGTCTCCTCCTTCCGGGGTTCAGATCCAGCCTGGGCCGTAGGCAAAGGAGGGCCGGGGTTATGGGTGTAGCAGCCACAAACCAAGCGTAGGCAGCCTTGGGTGAGATTTGAGCAGCCAGCCAGAATCCCTCCATAGCACACCAGCAGATACACCCAACTAATATGCTGGGGCATGCACCACAACATGAGGGAGGGACATGGAAAATGGGCAGGGTTAGCTCCCAAGCCAGCACACGTGTATACGGCCCTTACCATGACCAAGGGACCCACCCTACACCCATTTAAGTCAAAGGGAGTTTTGCCATTGACGTCCAACAGCAGCAGGATCAGTCCCCAAGTGAGCAATTAGCACTTACCAAAAAGAGCAGCTGCCTGCCATATATGCTACATGAATAGCCCAGACACTAAAAGCTATAGTGGCTCACACCAATACTACAGAGCGCTTTTGTTTTTAACATAGGGGTCCCTTGGAGCATTGGCTTGGCCATCATGGGAAATCCCTACAGCAAAACTCCTGGTGAAGTACAAACACCAGAGTGTGTCTCTCCTTCCTCTCATGGCTTGCTATATTCTAATGAGGCTTAAGGTCCCCTGCAAAGGAGTTGTTTAAAATTGGGGCTATGCCCTTTTTTGGCTTCTTGACAATAGATAAAGGTCCAAGGAGCGGTGGGGTTTTCTTGTTTAGCTTAGAAATATCACACGTGTCAAGTCTGGCCTGCCCTGGTTTTGCTGGAGGACTTCTGGTATGTCTCAGAGAGGTTTGTTGTGATATCCCACACACTAGTTGAAGGGGGTGTTGAATCTTTAACAGGATCATCCTTCTCTCATGTGGTTGTTAAGGCCTAGAGCACCCCTTTCCAGCAGAAAAACCCATGGGAGGGGACTTGAGGTGAGAAATCTCCTTGAGGATCCCCTTGCAGAGATTCTGCCCTGCATCATTCCATTGAGATGGTGGGGTTTCCCTCCTGTGGAAAAGACCACAGGGCCTGCCCCCAAACCTGATTAACTCCCCAAGGATCTGCAGAGGCCTAGAGCCATCTGCATGTAGGCCTAGTGCCTCCACAGTGGCTTTAGCCCATCCCACCAGTAGGTCCCCACCCCAGAAATTCTCTGGCCTAGCAGCTCCATTGGGTGCCCCACTGGCTACAGCTACTCCTGGGATGCCAGAGGATGGAGGATAGAAAATAAAGCCCCAGACTGAATTATTTCTATTGGATTGAAGGGAAACCTATACCCATCCTCTGCCCACACTCCTGTCCCAGACAGTCCTCACCAAAGGCCGACACAATCTTTCCTTCAATGCAGACCGGAGAGATTCCTACACTGCGTCCAGGAGAGGGGCAAGGGGATCTGGAGATGTCTGAGGACGTGTTTCAGATGGAAGGGGGAGATTCACGCACAAGATCCCCTTTGCCTGGATCTTCAATGAAGATGTGGCCCTTAGCACTAGAGTTAAACAGGTGTTGAGAAAAGATTAACAAAAAGTTTTAAGCAGTTTGACTAAATATCCCTTCTCAATTGCTCAGGTTTCATACTCTGGCTCTTGTGATTACAAAAGCTCTCTAGGTTCCATAGAATCTTGCTAGAGTAGACAAGACCTGAATTTCTAATGGAATAACAAGCACAGGAATCCTCTTTCTTCGACCACTTTTTTTTTTAAATATATAAAACCCAAAGCTTTTCAGACTTTCTAGCTACATCACAAAGAAACAAACCTAAATGAAGTGAAGGTACAAACCCAACATGGTCTCCCATTCTTTAAAGCTGAAAAGGTCAAGAGGTAAAAATAAAATGCAATAAATTAAACAAAAAATCCCACACTACAATAATAATTTTTGGATGACTTTGGGCATTTATTCCATCAAGGCTGTACCAGGGATAACTAAGACCGTGATTCTGCAACTTCTTTCCCACAGGCAGAGTGCTAAGCCCACATGGCATGCCATTTTGGTTGCTGGATTAGGTCACATGGAATGACATTGATCAAATATTTCAAAGAACAAGAGGCAAAGCCTTATCTTCCACAGGAAAATAATTATTTTATTAAGTATTTTAAAAACAACTACTTAACATTTACTCAAGATAAAAATATTTACAATACCCCACCTTTGAGAAGGCTCCAAAATATAAACACTGTATCCCTCCCTAGAGAACAAAACAAAACCTCTTCAAAAAACAAAACCCCCAAATCAGGAATACATTCATATTTCTCACTTCTTTATGCTCAAGTAGTTATACAAATAATAGACCTCTGAAACGTTTTAACTTTTTAATATATTTATATAATATATATATTTTATATATACATATATATTTATAACAAGATTTTACAAATAAAGGCAACAACTGTATACCAAAAAAAAACAATAATAAAATAAACATGAGAACACAATCTGCAATCAAGCACAGTGCATCTTAACAACTGGTGCAATGGTAGAATGAAATGAGCATCTATGTGACATTTACTCTGGAAACAATGTCTCAAAATTAATAGGGAAAAAAAACTGACTGCTTTTTGCAGTTAGTTTCTTTTAAAGCCTAATTGGACACAGTGTTCATCACTGAAGCAACTACTGAATCTGTGGTGCACAGGCCCAAATAGTTCTAAGATTTGTTAATAGGGAAATTTTCACAAATTCTAACTCTATTTAAAATAGAAATTTGGACTAGGGTTTTCGGAGGATCCTAAGAGATTTGGCCACCCAAATCCCACTGGGATTAGGTTCCTTTGGAAAAAAAAAAAAAGTTTTGAATTCTCAAAGGCACTCAAGGGGGCCAATTCAGTGGGTGCAACTCTGTTGACTTCAATTGAATTTCACCCTGTTACAAGAGACCTGGATTTGGCTCAGAAGTGAAACAGTCAGTTGCTGGCTATGCCCCCATTAATGGGGCTTTTTAACCATTTTGCTTTCGGATACACTAGACCCAGAGACACCTGTACAGTAGCAGTAAAAGAGAGGTCTAGAGTTAGGTGCAACAAGCAAAGGGATCCATGGGGATATTTTCTCTTCCCCTGCCCCAACTAGCAGCTTGAGTTATAGAAAGGGATGCATGTTAATTTATTAATTAGAAGTACACCATGTAAAGCTTCTAAGCAGCATCTACATTTTATTCATTTTGTTTTTTAAACATTCAGCAGAGGTGTGGAGAGAAACTTGTCTTCACTCTCCCTGAACCACTGACTGTGTGTTACCAACCAGTGATTGCTACTCTGAATCGTTTTAGTGGGACTAACACCAATGCTTCAACTGCTGTGCATGCATGTATCATTTCAAATACTGGCAACTGGGTGGGGTAACAAATCTGGCGGTGGGCCATTGCTTTGAAAAGCCCTCATCAGAAGTACCATATTTTTATATTCACAGACCCTAACACCTAAATCTGCCTAATGGAATATTTTTCACAGCTTTGAAATATAATCCTCACTGACTAAGTCAGCTGTTGCTCTGTAGATGGGGAGGGTAAAGGGTAAAGCACAAAGAAAACCTTTTTTTTTTTCTCCTTTTAAACTCCCCCGAATGGCTAACCTGGGTGCTTCCTTCATCCTTTCCCACGCTATCTGACAAGTCAGAGAAAAGTGGATTTTGCTTCCTACTCTCAATGAACCTTTATCCCCACACCTCAGTCCAGCCGGTATATAAAACTGAAAGAGTCTCAAACTTAAAAAAAAGAAAAGAAAAAGAAAACGGTCACACTGTGCTTAGTCTTTGGTTTCCAAGTTCAAAGGAGGAATCTGCTTCAAAGCTTGAAGCAGAGCTGAGGAGTCGATAGGGGAATGGACTGGTAGTGGAGAAGGAAGTCTCTGAGGCATCAGGAGAGATGGAGAGATTTTATCTGGGTTCATTAGCCCTGAAAGTGCTGCAGCAGAGGCTGGGAGACTTGGGTACAAGACAGGCATGGAAGCCGGGTACCAACACTTCTCCAGCATAGGCAGATAGGCAGTTGCGGATGGTGGGATCAAATAAAAAGGCAGGCACAAAGGAGGCTGGTGAGGGTGAGGGCCCAAAAAACTACTTGAAGAGCCAATCAGATCACTGCTAAAATGGCCTTCGTCTTCTGAAGTTTCCATTCTGGTCCTTTTGGCTGGTGGGTCCTCAGTCTCTTGCTTAATAGAGCTTATTCTCTCTTGCATGGTATAGTTGAGTCCCGTATCCTTTGGAAAATACTGTTGATCGGCGTTTGAGTCACTTTTCTCCAGCTCTCCTCCATACCCACTGTCTGTGTCTGTGTCGCTCCCGCTCTGCTCTCCACTGGAGTGTGCAAAAGTCCTCTGTATAACAGGCACACAGTTCTTGCCATAACCCTCAGCAGTTTTGGGCAAAGAGCCAGACTTCTCCTTCAAGTCCACCGTTTTCAGGGGCGCATCTCCAGATTTTCGGCTGGCTCCGCCCTGGAGAACCTCAGAGGCCATTCGGTGCAGATGACTGACTAGCTGAGAAGATTTCAGATCCCTGGTGTTCTCATGCTTTCCCAGGTATTGCAGCACTTCCTTGGCACACATCTGGAAACCAGATCGAAACATTTCCTGGCTGGTATCAAGGTTTCTTGATGACAAGTCACCTGAGGGAACATTAACAGAAATAAATTAAAAATTAACAGAGAGCTAAATAGTTTTATTAATATCATTAAGGTGCACTGGGGAGAGGAAGAAATTTTATCTCCATATTAAGTATCTGTTACAAAACAGCTAGACAAGTGAATTCTACTACAATACGGTCACTTTAAACACCCATTTTTACAACCTCCCTCTAACAGTGAGTCTTTAAATATGTTTTTGATCCTATACTCATTATACGTGGCAACCACAACAGACACTACAGTTTAGGGAGAAAATTGCAAAAGGCAGCACAGCGAATCAACCCTGGTATCTCCTCAGAAAGACATCAGTTCCAAAGTCATCTTGCAAATCTGGCTTCTCTGCAGCTAATGAAAGTTAGGTACAAGGGGCCCAATTTATCCCTCATTAGCTGCATAAACCAAGGGGGATTAGGTCTAAAGTTCGGGACGTGACATTGGGTTTGGCTGTGTAATTCTACTGCATATCTAGTGGCTGTTAAAGCCGTAGTAGCCTTTCTAGAAAAGCTGGTTTTAGCCTGCCAGACTCAAGTAAGTGTCACAAAGAGAGGGGAAGGAGGAAACAGATGTAAAACACTGTGGGCCCTTAGATAGTCCCGGGCTGCAAAGCGTGCACTAACTGGCTTATGGAGAAACCAAAAAGAGCATGTAAGAGAGATGTTTTCATATATTAAGGGAGAAAAAAGTCAGGACCTGATCCAAACGCCATTGAAGTCAATGGAAAGACTCCCATTGGCTTTGGATCAGGCCCTCACAGTAAAACTGTACTATAAAATAAAATAACTAGAATCAGGTTGAATTTAAAACTATATTAAATTAACAGCTGGTTATAAATTAACTAAATAGAGGGATGAAAAGCATCTTTTTCATAAATCCACATGCACATAAAGCAGGGTGTGCATGCTAAATAAAAATTAAAAAAGACAAACTTACCCTCCCACCTCCCAAACTAAGTGCCATAAGTAGCCAGTATTTCAAAGATATTGAAAGTAAGATCACGAGACATTCTAGGGTTCTCACATGATACAAACATGACTTGAATACTCACCAGCTTGTAAACCATTCTGTAAAGCAATTATTTTCTGTTGCTGCTGCTCAATGAGATTAGTTAGTGCTTTCACATGCTTCAAGGTAAGTTCAAGAACCACCGCCTTCTCCAAGTGACCTAAAGTCTGGAAACAAATGGGCAGGTTAGTACTTATCCTAGAGCTGGCCACGCTTCAAGGAATCTTAAAAGTTTTCTAATTCATTGTGAAATGAAAAAAGAAAAACAGTTGCAATTTGGGGAACAGGGTTAAAAATGGTGTCTTTATTCAATGAAATCACTCTGATTGATTTTGAGCAAAAATCTTAACATTTGGAGTCTGATCCACATATTATGTAAACTAAAAAAAAATTTAAAGGGAAGGTTGCAGAGAAGGATACAGTTACATCCTATGGGTATTTTAGGACCAACTGCATAGCTCTCAGACAAGTATTTTATTTTATCTGTTCTGCTGCCCCTGCTGGCATTATGACCTTAACACAGGGGAATCCAGTCAAAGGGTTTCTTTTGAACAGTGACAGAAGAGGGGAGTCCTGCAGGATGTCAGCCAAAGTGGTTTTCCCCATAAACTTCTGCAGGGATTTTTTTCTTTTAATTTTAATCAAGCACCTAAGCCTTTATTCTTTTTAAAACAAGGCACCTCACACACACTAGAGAAGCAAAAGTTGCGGTCCTTAACATCTGGCGCAAAACAAGAACACAGAGAATCCTTTCAAATACTCAGAACAGGTAGCATGGAAACAAACTCTAAAAGGACTTGACTTTCAGTTAAGTTAGGGATCAACTTATAAATGGAATCCAGTAAAACTTCAGAAAGAGCAACATGGAACTTTTTCAGTGGCTCAAATGGAAAAACCCAAATCCCTCACATTCACATCAAGCCCACAATAATCACTTTTACATGAGGTTTCATTTTAACATTGCAGCAGTTCAATTCATATCACCCTATCACCACCAAAGATATACACTGTTTAAAAATGTACAGTATCTGGAAGGAAAGCCATTAGTAATAGACTGATCAAAGTGGCAAACCTGCCCAAATCGCAGCCTTTTCCACTTTGATGTGCAGTGCTCAGAGGAAACCTCTAGATGGCACATCTACCTGCACAGAAATCCATTAACCAACACACATCCCCAAAACGAAAAGGAGTTTGGATATTAGCCAGATTTTCACTTACTGTAAGTTTGAGATGTTCTGGTAAGAGATCTTTCAGTTGGGCGATGCACTCATTAATCCTATCACGTCTCTTCTTCTCTATCAGTCTGTGGGGCAATTTATAGGTCTCCTGGAAGCCAAAGGAAAGGAGAAAATCAGACAAGACACAAGATGACTTCTAGCACCATGGATAGACACATAGGTAAAAGGTGATCTAGAAGTAAAACTAGATCTCATGCTTTTGGGTACCCATGTGTAGCAGCTACTAACTTACTGATTTTCTGTCATAAGAATTATTAAATTAATGCAAAAATATAGTCCCCTCCCACCTTCTGAGCCTCAAATTCGGGGACAAGAGGTACAAGTGCAACAGTCTCAGAGCAAAAAAAACCCCAACAACTTTGATTCAAACTGTCTGATGTTAAAACAACCCCTCCTAAACCCCACAGCAAATTTTATAACGGTTAAATCTTAGTTGAGCTTTATGCAAAAGCAGATTTAAACCAAATCAGAACAGACACAAACGCATACAACTTTTTAAATGGACAGGTGTTAACTAAGAATGCAAAGGTTCCGCAATTCCTCCATTTACCTTATTGTCTTCACTTTTTTTTAACCCTCTCCTGGGCTTGTACACTTGATACATGTGAGAAAAGGCCAGCCTGCACAAATGACATAAAAATGCGATGGGTTATTATTATTTCCTGCACCCTGAGAGACACAAATGCGTCTGACAACGCTCCCAGCTGGCACAGGGTGAAGGATCTGAAGCTCAAGTCAAAGCCAGCGGCCAGATTGCGCCCGTGGGTTTGCTGGGGAGGGCACTGGGCGCTCTGGCCCCGAGAAACGCACCACTGAGGCGGCATCTTACCCTGGCATCTCGTTGCTCTCCAGCGCAGGCAGCTTGCCCAGGCAGGCGGGAGGGGGCTGGGCGCTGGGGATCATTTCCATTTCAGCTTGGGAGGCTTTGTAGGGGGGGCTCTGCTGAAACTTAGCCTCGCCGAAAGCAGCGAAATCAGTCAGCGCCGGGTGCGCGGCGAGCTCCTCGGAGAACCCCGCGGCTCTGGGCACCGCTGGCGTCGGGACCGGCTCCTGGGCTGCAGACGGCTCAGGGCGCGCTGCTCATCTCCGCGCGGCCGGGGCAGGGCGCGAGCTGAGGAGTCGCTGGGAGGCGGCAGGCTGGGTTAAATGGGAGCGAGTGGGTGGCTGGCGCTACGTGTTCTACCCTGTGACTCCCGGCACGTCTGGCGGTGCTGGGGAGGGAGAGCCCTGCCTCCCCCCATCACATGAGCCTCACGTGTTGGACAACGCTCTGGCCTCCCCCCCCGCCTCCTCCTCCCTCCCTCCCC